AAGGGGTGCAGGGGCAAGATGTGCTTCTGCTGTATCCCTGGTAAGCTCTCTGCTTTCTTTCTATCCGTCTCCATCTACTTGTCTGCCTATCTGTATATCGGTCTATCTATACTGCACATCTAATCTTTACATGGTTAATGCTCTAAAAGAACCAGACATATTGAGTTTGTATCCTCAGGTTGAAATAAACGAATTCTGATTGTCGAGATCGTTTTAACGACTAATAATGATCTTTCCGCCTCCGACAGATGGAACAAGTCCTTCATGCAGCTGCAGGGAACAAAGCAGTAAGAGGATTCCTTGGATTGTATGAATGTAGTTGTGTAAATGAGCGCATGTGTGTTGATATGTGTGCATTAGATCAGCTTCTATATACACCAAACTCGGTATCTATCAGTCATAAGAGCAAGGCCATGAAAAAACAGTGCTATGCTATTCCATTAACGCATGTCAATAGCTATACTCATTCCTTTAAGAAATTCCACAAGTTGAAAGCTGTACCTCTTATAAGTGATTCCTGAAATTTGTAATGCAGCATTGTGATATTGTTTATAACGATGCAGGATCATAATTGGTATAGAACCTGATCATAAAATGTCCCATTAATCGTGCCTGCATCTACCGGTGGGTATATAAAAGTGTGATAAAAAGTATCTGTTAACTCAGCACATGAGTCACCAAACACAACTACAATACTACTATCGTTTTCAGTCTCGGTCTGTAGCCCGCTGGGATCCGTCAGTGTTCCCGCCGACGGCTGCCTGAGCGTGCACAGCCCCAGATACCCGCTTGCGTACTTTGATGACCTCTCTTGCGCACTGAGCGTCACTACGAATTCAAGATGTCAACTCGTCGTAGATTTCTGTGACGTAGCTCTTGAGAAGTGTCCGTTCGACACGCTGCGGATCGACGGAGGAAACGCAAGGTGGTTATCGTAACTATATTGTAACATAAATTGATATGTATATGTGTGTGTCTGTGTGTGTGATTGCGAATGCAGTGTGGCAGTGCTGGGACATGTTTGCATTCACCTAACCTTAATGGCGAAGGGTAAACGCACATGGCCTATACACCCAACCCTCGCCTCCTCGACCTTCCAGCGGAGTCGCCTGCGGCTACATGGACCCTGCCCCAGTGGCTTCCTCGGGCAGCAGCCTCACCTTCACCTTCTCGACAGACAGCAACCAGCGCGGCCGAGGATTCCGCTTGGCAGTGGCTTCAGTCTGCGTGAGTTTCACGTCCATTATGCTGTTAGCTTACAACAGTCTTCGTTCGAGAAATATTGATTATAATGATATAAATGAGGATTTTGGTGATTTCGAAGGTGTTCGTAATAGACGCAACAAAATTAACAATAAGGATGTTATCAATTTTGGTATCATTGATGAATTTAATAGTATTGAAAGACATAATGACAATGATAATGGCAATAAAGTGATAATAAACAGAAATGATAACGATAGCATGGTGAAAATATTTTTGATAATTTCATTCATGCTATTATTAACAATGGAAATGATGACAGAAATATTAGGGTTATAATAATAGTAATAATATTATTCCAATGTATTAACAATAACATTCGTAATAATTTTACATAACCATTTTTGCCTTTTTCTGTAGCATTCCCGAAGCCTCAAACAGTTTGATACACTTTGATATATATTTGCCCTTGACATGTATATTGGAACCAGGTGAAACATCTTTTCATTTTGTATCATATTGTTTACCCCTTCCTTGATACAGTTTGATACACCGGCCAGCGCAATATTTTCAAAAAATATTTCACGTAGGTTCAGATAGGAATTTATATTTTCATTAATTACGAATCGCATTGTAAATTTCTTGATGCAAAATTCTTTTTCAAACATGCATAAACTGTTTCTGTCTTTTTAGCAGTGCATCAAATACATATTCAATTGATATGGGTAAAATTTGAAGTCAATCATGGCGGTCGCTGGAACGACATGGTAAGAATTATATGACGTGGTATTGACTTCAGTCAGATGAATGTTTTCAAAAGCATTCTGTACCTCTCTGATATAATTAAATCAGTAAGAAAAGTAAATACAACCTTATAGCCTCAAAAATATCAGAGTAGACTGTGTATCTTCATTTGTTGATATAAATGTTTTCAAAAGCATTCTGTACCTCTCTGATATAATTAAATCAGTAAGAAAAGTAAATAGAGGTATTTATCTAATTCAGACACAGTTCACTCACGGTGGATATGATGATTCAGAACCTCATGCAATTTCCACTTTTCATATGAAGAACAATGTATGTAAAAATAATAATGATAAAAAATTGACTAAATCTAAGAAATACATTTGAAATTTTTATCAGGCTTGCGAAGCTAAATGAAGTGTGTATAAAATATCATATTTGGATAGTTAAGTACTTTTTCCATTTTATTTGAAGATACATAATTTTGCTTGCAGTTGAATATCATACCTACATATTAAGTACTTTAATGGTCTTTTTTATGTCTCTTGTGAAA